TCTGCAACTAACATTAATGGTGGGGTCATTCACATTTACCTGCTTTTAACTATGTATTGTTGTGTTGTTGTTAAATTGTCTGTATCCCCCTTCCCTTGTTTGAGTTGTGAGCCTCCCTGAGTCCCCTTAGGGAAAAGGGCGGCATACAAATGAAATAAAACTCTAAACTCTAAATAAATTAGAATTAAAAACCAGGTAAATGTGAATGACCCCACCATTAATGTTAGTTGCAGATGGCCGGGAAACCTTCCATTCTGAAAGAAGCAAGAGGAGGAAGCTTCTGCAGAAAATGTTTTGAGAAGCTACCCAAGAAGGCTTGAAAAAGAGCTATCATCATGCCATTGAAAATAGTTCCAAATGCCATTGAGACACAGGATAGTGGTTTAATAACTGCTGGTTAACCAAACTTTTGGATAGGCAAATTGTTTGTTAATGGTCCAGAATAAATTATTGGACAATTGTTTCATTGGGAGTTAATGACTGAGAAATAGCTGGAGATTTCCATGAAGCGTTTTGAATGAATTTCCTAAGACAGCTAGCCATATTAATCTTCTGTAGCGAAACAATAAATTTTTCTGGCACCTTAAGCACCAGATAATTATCACTTTGAGTTTTCATGAACTATAGCTCATTTTTTGTTTTTAAAAAGCTAAGTTCCAGCTTAAATTGGAGATGTGCATGCAGTCAAATAAACACACACATGCACACTTGTATGCGTGAGGCTGAGGGTAGGACTGTAAAGAATGATTCATGCAGATACATATGGATAGTTCTCACCTTATGACCCTTTGACAGTCTTACTCCTCCCACAACAGTCACAGCATCCTCATGGTCACATGACTGCAGTTCGGCATGCTTAGCGATCAGCATGTATTTATGTCAGTTGCAGTGTCCAGGAGTCATATGATTGCCTTAACGAGTATGGCAAAAAAGGTCACAAAATTGGGCACTTGATGACCACACAGCTGGAGTAATAGACATTCCTGTCCCAATTGCAGCCATAGATTAAGGACTTATCTGCATCCTGACTTGAACTATGTGACATGAAACTGAACCTTTTGAAGATTTTCAACCTGGTTGTTTAGCGTTATAATCCCCCTTTGGCTCAAGAATTGTCTGTGTTTCCAGGATCCTCACCATGAGGAATTTCCTGAGGAGTGGCAAAATAAACTGGAAGGGTTCCAGAGGATGCTAATCATTCGTTGTCTCAGACCTGACAAGGTAAGTACGGTGAGCTGTTTAACAAATGTATATTAGACTGATTGCTATCTAATTGTTCACCCTTAAAAAGGGTAGATGTGTCTTTTTAAAAAAAATCTACATTGGAAGTAGCTGATGCTGGGACAGCTGGTGGAAGAATCTTTACTTGTGGTGTGCAAATAATTTGCTCTTTGGTGAATATCTCTCTTCCTATTACATCAGAAAATGGAAAAAGGGACAAGAACTTTCCGGACACAGAAACACTGCTTGCCTTACATTACTGTGATATTTATTTGTTTTGATGATTCTAGGTAAATAACCTGTGCTTATTTTTTAATATATACAGTGGCCTTTGACGAACTTTATAGACATTTCCAATGGAGCATTTTGCAGTTTCTTAACTGCCTCTTCCCTTCCCTAATTCACGCAGGTTCCTTGTAGACTGTTTTATGTACAAGTATTGCTATCTTCAGTTTTGTAGGAGTTGCATAACATTAAAAAAAACCCGAATAGCACATATATTAATAAAGGCATTTTTTTCATATTTGTTCATATGGAGGAACACTATTGTGACACACAAGCTCTTAAATAGGGAAACTCATCACACCTTGATGTGTGATGCCAAAAGCAACATATTGGGCAGCTGGCATTACACTGACAACTGTACTGTGCATATTATTGGTAAGATATATTATTGGATAAATTTGGATATCGGTTTCAAAGAAATCCCTTTTAGTGTCCAAAACCCTTTATTTAAAATTTCTATCTTGACATTCTCCAAACACATTATCTCAGTTTAGTGGATTACTTCCATAAGTCAGAATTATTTCTTTCTGTCTTCCTTCTGGCTTTATGCAGAACAAGCATTACAACACAATAAAAGCATCAGGAATATAAATGGCTATCGGAAGATTCCATTCATGTCATATTAGCCCGTCTTACAGGCCAAGCCTTTGTTCACATTTCGGTAGATACGTGCCTTTACCTCTGTCCGTGCTTGTCATCACAAGAGGCTGTCAGCTGCAATCCATTCTCTTCTTTTGGTTGGCCGGCACACAATTTTCTTTTGTTGCAAACGGCAGAAGTCTCCGCTTCTGATGTGTACTGGTATTTATTCATGAAATGATCCACAAGACGTTTCCTTGTTAGAGCTGCTTCCTTTTCAAAGGTGTTTATTATACTTCGGCCTGTTTTGCACTTGAAAACAAGTGGAGAATTCAGTTAGCCACAATTTTTTTAGGCGATCGACAGCAGGAACGACTACAAGGGATACCGCAGAATATATTAATAGCTTTCCTTTTGAAAAAGAAAGCATCTACACCTTTGACAGTAATTGTTTCCAACCTCAATTGCTCCTTTGGATCCACGCTCATAGCCCAGCATGATTTTAGGCTACTGTGAAGGGGGAAAAAAACTAAATCTTTGTCAATGCTTGTCAAAGAGAAAAATTAGGGAGAGAAATGGTAGCTGTCAGTTGAATGTACGTCAGCAGTGTCTTGCAGCAACAAAGCAAGGTTTTTAGAAAGAAAGAGAAGCCACATTTCACACTGACCCGTGAAACGTTTGCTAAGGAGTGGATGGGGTCAAGAGGTGCTTTAAGTTCATCATTACGTTCAAGGCTCGATTATTGCAATGCGCTCTACATGGGGCTACCCTTGAAAAGCGTTCGGGGACTACAGCTAGTCCAGAATGCAGCCGCGC